ATATATAAAAGTAATTAATAGGTGTTTTCTGTTGGCATTCATTTTATAAAGCAAAGAACAAAAAACGTGTCAGGCAGGTTTACTAATATTTTAGAGGGTGCTTTATTAATGTTTTATAACCACTGATCGATGCATATCATTATCAGCCGCTGTTCATAAATAGCAGTGGTATCATAATGTTATTCGCGATTGATTTGATTAGATTATCCACGGTATTTCGGTAGTCAGAACAGGCGGCGACGCCTTTTTTGTGCACACCTGGCAAGAAGCATCGCTTTCGGTTCAAAAGGTGCCTTTAAATGCATCAGAAATCTTGAATAAATGTGCTCATATCAGCTCTCTTCAGTGAGATTTAGACTGCAGGGAGCTGTCCGGTGCTGAAATCAACGCCTTCACAATGCCTGCATTGTGGTTTTTATTTGTGTTATTATTTTTTTTATGTGTATTACGCAAAACATTTTGATTCATATTTGTGTCTGTCATACTATGTGTACGCATTAAAAACCCCTTTGGCGATCTTCTACTCCGAAAACGCCGCAAAGCTTGAATTTCGGCGTCAGACAGGCTGACATTAGCTCTTACCTTCCGATCATAGTGGAGTGCTGCTGGACAGCAGCCTCCAAGAGCCTCTCTAGTATGGTCCATTCTCCCATCGCTGCTCATCCGCAGACTCTGCCCCAGATCCAGACGAAAGCGCGAGTAATTCCTCTCAGTGTCCGCAGTTGTGGGGTGCGCGCATGGATGATCTGCGCCAGCTGTGGCGGTGCTGATGCTGGAAGATGATGCCACACACTGCTGCTCGGCTCCCAGTCCGGACTGGAGTCATGTGAGCCCTCCTCTCTTCGATCTCCACATCAGATTGATGGTGTGGGTGGAGGGCGGCGGGCTTTAATGTGGCATCAGTGCCGTGGAGAGCCCTGCTGCGTCATACGGGCTTTATCTGGAGCTGCGGCTGCTGTTGTTCATGCGTCTGCTCATGGGCTGCGGTCAGTCCGCTGATGCTGGACTCTGTGGAG